GCTCAAGAAGAAGCACATTAAGGTCCTGGAGTGGCCTAGCCAGTCTCCAGACCTTAATCCCATAGAAAATCTGTGGAGGGAGCTGAAGGTTAGAGTTGCCAAACGTCAGCCTCGAAACCTTAATGACTTGGAGAAGATCTGCAAAGAGGAGTGGGACAAAATCCCTCCTGAGATGTGTGCAAACCTGGTGACCAACTACAAGAAACGTCTGACCTCTGTGATTGCCAACAATGGTTTTGCCACCAAGTACTAAGTCATGTTTTGCAGAGGGGTCAAATACTTATTTCCCTCATTAAAATGCAAATCAATTTATAACATTTTTGACATGCGTTTTTCTGGATTTTTTTGTTGTTATTCTGTCTCTCACTGTTCAAATAAACCTACCATTAAAATTATAGACTGATCATGTCTTTGTCAGTGGGCAAACGTACAAAATCAGCAGGGGATAAAATACTTTTTTCCCTCACTGTATATATATATATATATACAGTGGGGAGAACAAGTTTTTGATACACTGCCGATTTTGCAGGTTTTCCTACTTACAAAGCATGTAGAGGTCTGTAATTTTGATCATAGGTACACTTCAACTGTGAGAGACTAAAACAAAAATCCAGAAAATCACATTGTATGATTTTTAAGTAATTCATTTGCATTTTATTGCATGACATACAGTGGGGCAAAAAAGTATTTAGTCAGCCACCAATTGTGCAAGTTCTCCCACTTAAAAAGATGAGAGAGGCCTGTAATTTTCAGCATAGGTACACGTCAACTGTGACAGACAAAATGAGGAAAAAAAATCCATAAAATCACATTGTAGGATTTTTAATGAATTTATTTGCAAATTATGGTGGAAAATAAGTATTTGGTCAATAACAAAAGTTTCTCAATACTTTGTTATATACCCTTTGTTGGCAATGACACAGGTCAAACGTTTTCTGTAAGTCTTCACAAGGTTTTCACACACTGTTGCTGGTATTTTGGCCCATTCCTCCATGCAGATCTCCTCTAGAGCAGTGATGTTTTGGAGCTGTCGCTGGGCAACACGGACTTTCAACTCCCTCCAAAGATTTTCTATGGGGTTGAGATCTGGAGACTGGCTAGGCCACTCCAGGACCTTGAAATGCTTCTTACGAAGCCACTCCTTCGTTGCCCGGGCGGTGTGTTTGGGATCATTGTCATGCTGAAAGACCCAGCCACGTTTCATCTTCAATGCCCTTGCTGATGGAAGGAGGTTTTCACTCAAAATCTCACGATACATGGCCCCATTCATTCTTTCCTTTACACGGATCAGTCGTCCTGGTCCCTTTGCAGAAAAACAGCCCCAAAGCATGATGTTTCCACCCCCATGCTTCACAGTAGGTATGGTGTTCTTTGGATGCAACTCAGCATTCTTTGTCCTCCAAACACGACGAGTTGAGTTTTTACCAAAAAGTTATATTTTGGTTTCATCTGACCATATGACATTCTCCCAATCCTCTTCTGGATCATCAAATGCACTCTAGCAAACTTCAGACGGGCCTGGACATGTACTGGCTTAAGCAGGGGGACACGTATGGCACTGCAGGATTTGAGTCCCTGGCGGCGTAGTGTGTTACTGATGGTAGGCTTTGTTACTTTGGTCCCAGCTCTCTGCAGGTCATTCACTAGGTCCCCCCGTGTGGTTCTGGGATTTTTGCTCACCGTTCTTGTGATCATTTTGACCCCACGGGGTGAGATCTTGCGTGGAGCCCCTGATCGAGGGAGATTATCAGTGGTCTTGTATGTCTTCCATTTCCTAATAATTGCTCCCACAGTTGATTTCTTCAAACCAAGCTGCTTACCTATTGCAGATTCAGTCTTCCCAGCCTGGTGCAGGTCTACAATTTTGTTTCTGGTGTCCTTTGACAGCTCTTTGGTCTTGGCCATAGTGGAGTTTGGAGTGTGACTGTTTGAGGTTGTGGACAGGTGTCTTTTATACTGATAACAAGTTCAAACAGGTGCCATTAATACAGGTAATGAGTGGAGGACAGAGGAGCCTCTTAAAGAAGAAGTTACAGGTCTGTGAGAGCCAGAAATCTTGCTTGTTTGTAGGTGACCAAATACTTATTTTCCACCATAATTTGCAAATAAATTAATTTTCCTCATTTTGTCTGTCATAGTTGACGTGTACCTATGATGAAAATTACAGGCCTCTCTCATCTTTTTAAGTGGGAGAACTTGCACAATTGGTGGCTGACTAAATACTTTTTTCCCCCACTGTAAGTATTTGATCACCTACCAACCAGTAAGAATTCCGGCTCTCACAGACCTGTTAGTTTTTCTTTAAGAAGCCCTCCTGTTCTCCACTCATTACCTGTATTAACTGCACCTCTTTGAAATCGTTACCTGTATAAAAGACACCTGTCCACACACTCAATCAAACAGACTTCAACCTCTCCACAATGGCCAAGACCAGAGAGCTGTGTAAGGACATCAGGGATAAAATTGTAGACCTGCACAAGGCTGGGATGGGCTACAGGACAATAGGCAAGCAGCTTGGTGAGAAGGCAACAACTGTTGGCGCAATTATTAGAAAATGGAAGAAGTTCAAGATGACGGTCAATCACCCTCGGTCTGGGGCTCCATGCAAGATCTCACCTCGTGGGGCATCAATGATCATGAGGAAGGTGAGGGATCAGCCCAGAACTACACGGCAGGACCTGGTCAATGACCTGAAGAGAGCTGGGACCACAGTCTCAAAGAAAACCATTAGTAACACACTACGCCGTCATGGATTAAAATCCTGCAGCGCACGCAAGGTCAATGGGGTTGAGGTCAGGGCTCTGTGCAGGCCAGTCAAGTTCTTCTACACCGATCTCGACAAACCATTTCTGTATGGACCTCGATTTGTGCACGGGGGCATTGTCATGCTGAAACAGGAAAAGGCCTTCCCCAAACTGTTGCCACAAAGTTGGAAGCACAGAATCGTCTAGAATGTCATTGTATGCTGTAGCATTAAGATTTCCCTTCACTGGAACTAAAGGGCCTAGCCCGAACCATGAAAAACAGCCCCAGACCATAATTCCTCCGCCACCAAACTTTACAGTTGGCACAATGCATTGGGGCAGGTCGCGTTCTCCTGGCATCCGCCAAATCCAGATTTGTCCGTCAGACTGCCAGAGAACGTGTTTCCACTGCTCCAGAGTCCAATGGCGGCGAGCTTTACAGCACTCCAGCAAACGCTTGGCATTGCGCATGGTGATCTTAGGCTTTTGTGAGGCTGCTCAGCAATGGAAACCCATTTCAAACAGTTATTGTGCTGACGTTGCTTCCAGAGGCTGTTTGGAACTTGGTAGTGAGTGTTGCAACCGAGGAAAGATGATTTTTATGCACTTCGCGCTTCAGCACTCGGTGGTCCCGTTGTGTGAGCTTGTGTGGCCTACCACTTCGCGGCTGAGCGGTTGTTGCTCCTAGACGTTTCCGCTTCACAATATCAGCACTTACAGTTGACTGGGGCAGCTCTAGCAGGGCAGAAATTTGACGAACTGACTTGTTGGAAAGGTGGCATCCTATGACGGCGCCATGTTGAAAGTCACTGAGCTCTTCAGTAAGGCCATTCTACTGCCAGTGTTTGTCTATGGAGATTGCATGGCTGTGTGCTCGATTTTATACACTTATCAGCAACGGGTGTGACTGAAATAGACAAATCCACTAATTTGAAGGGGTGTCCACATACTTTTTTATATATAGTGTATTTCTGAAAATGTGGGTACAATCAGAATGTGGACAAGATCAGGAAAAAGGACGCATGTTAGCGCCAGGTATAAATGAGGCTATAGAGTTGACATGGCTTGGGTTTTCAGTTTTGTGGTGTCTACTGGTCATCTGTAGCTCAGTTGGAGACCATGGCACTTTGGTGTTTGCTACGCCAGGATAGAGGGTTCGATTCCTGGTACCACTCATACGTAAAATGTATGCACGCATGACTAAGTCACTTTGGATAAAAGCATCTGCTAAATGGCATATATTATATTAGTACTACAGCAACTACAAATACTCCAGAACTACTATATACACACTGCTACAAATACCTATAGAGATGCTCTGGTGTAAAACCAAGGGGTCTTAAACCAATTGTCTATTACACTCTGTTCCACCCCTCTCTCTCTCTACTCTGTGGTTTTCCCAATTGTTCCTTTCCTCTCTTCCACTCCCGTTCTTCCCTGTCGTTTTGCCAATTCTGACTTTGTAAGCGAGTGACAGTGTTGAGAGGTGTGTAAGAATAAACTCAGAAAGTCATCAACTCATCGTAGCTGAGTCATCATTAGCGGACAGCTTCCTTAGCATCGTAACATTAACAAGCATGACAGGCGGGGCAGTAAGCCCAATTCTAGCCACATAGGGTAATGGCTTCAGGTCATAAGTAGGAGCCCTCTATATGGGATATAGGAGTGTAACGGGTGTCATTTGAGATTTGTACAGGGTTTCCCCTACAATCAAACCATACAGTAACACATCAGTTGTAACACGATCATCCTAGAAAAGTATAGTGCTAGTGATTTACAGCCTGTCACTTGAGAATGATACATATTTAATATGTCTTTGTCTTCCTTTTGTTATTTTTATTTCTTTTTCTGAAAAGCTTTGAAAAACGATAATAAAAATCATCTCTCTCTGAGATGTGTAAAAGTTATGTTTTGTGTGTGGATAATGTTGTGTTGTTGTCAGTGAAGTCACTATCTCAAGTAACTATCTTCAAATCAGTTGTTTTAATTTGACAGGTATACTATAATCCACACACAATACATTTTAAATATACAACAGCACCTGCCTGCTATGTACTACCTTGCAAACATGACTTGATCATTCAACATTCACAGAAATAAATGCTGTTGGTGTACAGAAACAGCAGAGGGAGACAAACAGTCATTCATTTCTCCTTTGCAGGAGAGGTATTGGATAGTGAGTGTGGGGCTGAGAATGAAGATGAGGAGCAGATTGTATATGTGTGGATGAGGAGCGTATGTGGGATGGTAACGGTGTCAGAGGATGAGGAGGGGGTTCTCTCTGAGTTGCCTGTAAATGCTGAACAATGTCTTGGTGGTCTGTCCCGTGGTCATCCCCAGTCCAATGGCTTCTGCGATACGAGCCTCCTGGAGAAGCTCAGATAGGGCCTGGCAGGGGGGAGGAGGAGGAAGATAAAGAAGAGGAGGAAGAGGTAAGGCTATAAACACACAGAGGAAAAGTTTAGAAAAGACCACAGATTGTCCCTTTCTTTGTGTGTTTGTGGATTTCTTTCAACCATTATGTTACCAGGTGTGTAGAGGCCCCAAAAGTTTGTTAGTCTGGTCTCACCTGTGCCCGCTCTAGGGCCTGTCTCAAGCCCAGTTCCTGGACTCCCATAGAGGACTCCTGTGTGCCAGCAGCACCCTGGAGCAGAACCTTTCAACACACAGGTAGGTTAGGGAGGAGAGGATGAAGTAGCAGACAAGCTCAAATGTTTATGGCACATTTTGGGAATCCCTACCTGTACACGGCATAACACAGCATGGTGTAATCCACACACGGCTGCCATGGAAGAGCACTGCACCTGCACCTCCACAGCCTCCTTAACCTCCTTCACACTGGTGTCCCCTACGGTTACCTGGTCAACAACATACAGGTACAGTCATTCTCAACACATATACCTCATATAATAGTCTCCCAGGAAAGTTAAACATGAATTTAAAGTGAGTCTAAAAGGATAACAATCGATACAACTATAATAATACACCTTTTTTTTTATTATCCAAAGGGACTTAGTCATGCATGCATACATTTTATGTATGGCTCGTCCCGGGAATCGAACCCACTACCCTGCCGTTACAAGCGCCATGCTCTACCAACTGAGCTACAAAGAACCACAACTGATACACCCAGTATCAATACAATCATGTTTTCATGATATGTAAAAATATTATTACATATCCCACACACCTCTTTGGCTGTGAGTTTGACAGTGTGTCGCCCTAGACACCGGGCGTAGACCACAGAGCTTTCCTGTCCTCCCTTGTCCCCTCTGCTCCTCCAGTCCTCTCCTCCAGGCACCTGAGACAGCAGCCAGCTCAGCACAGAGTCACACACACCCTGAGAAGGGCCCTTTGGCACCTGGGGGCCTGCGGAGCCTGGTGGCTCCAGTCCTAGTGTCACTCTCAGTAGTTCTGTTGAGACCTTGATGCTTGCTGAAAACAGCCCCCCATCAGACGCTACCGTCCCCTCTCCTCCGCCTTCTCCATCCCCCCTCCCAGAACCCATGATCCTACGGGTGCTCAGGAAGGCCTCGACGATATCCATCGAGACGGTATCCAGGGAAACGGAGGGTCTGTTGGGGTCCCTGTGAGGGGCCGTGGTCCCGGTCACCTGCAGAGTGTCCAGCCAATCCACTATCAGCGTGTCCAGGGCCAGACTGACCCATCCACCCTCCAATCCCAGACGAGATGCCGGCTCCCCATTGGCCAGGAGGCGGGACAGCTCTTCAGGCCCCAGCAGGCTTTGCAGGGAGTAGGTGAGCGAGCAGCTAACCGTCACAGGGAAAGACGTGTCCCCCGCCGTTGTTAGGGGCAACGACACTTTCATTCTCCCACCCGGCTCTAGTTTCTGGAATGGAAATGAGAATGTTCGAGAGGTGTTCTCCACCCCTGCAGTAAGAGGGTAGGATAATGGTAGAACTCGCACACAGAACGTCCAGTTCTGTTCTAAAACGTAAGGACTAGAATTGTCCAGAACACAGGTCAGATTCAGGGAGTCTCTCTGTAGCAGGCGGCTCCACTTGGCAACAATGTGACACCTGATTGGCTTCTTGCTGACCCGAAGCTGCTCTCCACTGTTCTGATTGGCTAGCAGTAGGCAACAGACATTGAGCACCTGATTCAGGTGTCTGAGGGAGTGGGTTTTGGACTGGATGGTGCTTTTCAATACAGAGGCTCTAAGGGACAAGCAAGAGCACATGTAAATTAACATGTAAAATAAGTACTATTCATCTTGAATAAAACTTGTGTTAGATCTACCATTAAATCTACTGCATGCCTCCTCACCTCTCACACACATCTCCGATGGCTGCAAGGAGGTCCCTGACTCTCTGTCCCACCTGTGATAAGGGGAGCCTGGGTACGCCCCCTCCCTCTGTCCCCTTAGGCAGGGTCAACCGCTGGAGCCTCCCTCGGAGAGACAACGCCACCAGCTGCACTATGCCTGTAACACATACACAAACATGATCAGTAAGAAAATAAACTTGATAACAAAAATCGGTCGCAGAAAATATTGGTTGAGCTGAACACACACACACACACCTTACCTGAGGCATTGTGTGAGGGCCCAGCCAGGGCAATGACCCTGCAGACATTCAGGCTGACAGGACTCTGTAGGGCAGCAGACTCCCTGGGTCTCACCATGGCCTGTCCCTGGACTTGCCTCTCCCCGTGGCCCACCACCAGGCTCTCTCCTGGGCTTGGAGCTCCCTCTCGCACCCCTGGGAGATCCAGGGCTAGAAGATCTGAGCCTGTGCTGTAGTACAAGCCCTCCCTGCCTGCACACACACACACCACAGGCCCCGACACACACCCCTCCGTTAAGGCTGCTACCTTGCCCCCCTCCTCTGGCCCCCCTTCACAGGTCCTGACCAGCACCACCCTCCCCCATCGGCCTACTGCCACCAAACACTGTGGACCATCATTTGTCCTGGTCGTGGTTCCGATAAACGTGATTGGCTGCTCCAGACTGTGTAGAACTCTAACGCGGGGGCCTGGTGGTCCCGGGAAAAGTAAGGGGAGGGAGCAGAGACGCCCATCAGGCAGGCCGCAAAGGATCATGGGGGAGTTGATGAGGGCAGCATCGACGCCGAAGAGGAGCTTGAAGAGGAGAGGCTCCAGGAGAAAATGTTCGACACCTAGTGAGGATGATGATGACAAAGGTGGTAGTTTTGTTGTTGTTGAGGATGATGAAGATGATGACGAGGGTGGTGCATCACTGCTGTAAACGCAAGCTAACACAGGTCGCATGACCAGTCCTGTGCCGCCATTTTCCTCGGATTCGACATGGTGACCAACTGAAACGACAGGTAGACTTAACTGAGTCAGTTTCTGGTGGTCAGCTGCTTTATAGAGAGTAAACCACCAGGCTGCGTCTCCCAGGGAGACGGTCACCAAGGTCCCTCCGGACCCTCCCACCTCAATCAGAGAACACACCCCCTCGTCTCTGGCTGCCAGCGAATTAGACGACACCTTGAACAGAGCAGGGCCAGGGAATTGGTCAGCTGGTGGAGTGGGAGACCTGGTGAGACAGGACAAGGGGGAGAGGGTAATCAAATATACATTTAATTTTTGCATGGTCAGTCTCAGTAGTTCAAATGAAGAGGTTCATACCTGGGGTTCAGAGTTGGTAGACTGACACAGTATACCCCATCACTCTCACAGACAGCATAGATGGACTGCTTGTCCTCACTCAGTACCACGTGACACACTGGACTCAGGAACTGAAGGACAGCCTGGAATAACAGACAATAATCAACAAAAGAGGAGTGTTTCTTGTCCATGAAGAATATCACATATAGTTGACAGCCAAGTTCAAATAGACCCTGTTACTACAACTTCAGTGTTAATCAATAATCGGTTCACCTGTTCACAAATAATCAGTTCCTTGTAATTGTATCACCTGCCTCTATTCATCTCAGTGTTTATCAATAATCAGTTCCTTGTCATTGTATTACCTGCTACTCACCTGAGTGTTCATCAATAATCAGTTCACCTGTTATTCACCTGTGTGTTCACTGTTCATCACTAATCAGTTCCTGTTGTTCTTTATTGAAGTGGGCGAAGTGTTTGGTTTGAGATTCAGCCTTACCGTCAGTTTCAGCTTTTGTGTGTTGAAGACGGACACCTCGTCGCTCCCAGTACAAATCAACACATCTTCCCCAGACCAGATCACTTTAGCAGCTGTACCCGGCGAAGGACATCCGAACTCAGCCCAAGTCTCAACAACAGCACATCTCGCCTCCATAGCCGAGAACTGGAAAAAATAACAGGTCAGAACCAAGAAAGATTCTTCAAGTTCAAGTTATCTTTATTGTCCCAATTGGGATATTTATTGTGTAGTCAAGGTTCTGGTAGCACTAAGACGCTTTTCAAGTAACTTATTTGCTAATTAGTTATGTCCATAATACCTATTTGTAGGTAGTTTCAGTGCTGTAGCTTGATTGAAAATGCATCAACGGGTTGTTGACGGATGCAAAACTCCGCGGGTGTTGTTTCTGACCAATCAGCGTTCAAAACCACATTACCCAAGCACCAAGACCGAGGTATAACGTCATGAGCCTACCACCAATCACAACATCGCAGGCAAACATCCGCCGAAACTTCTAAAACGTTTTCGTGCGGTACTATCTTGAGCTTTTAGCTATTGTAAACTCTTGGTTGAAAGCGTTATGTATGGAGCCAGATAGTTGCCAAAAGGTTGAACGTACGTATTGTTAGGAAAAGCCATGTGTGAAACGTGAAATGTAAACTTTCATGTGTGAACATACAAACACCATGTTACGATTAAGGGCTAACATTTTAGGCTTGAACAAATCTTGTTGCAATTCTGACATACAATAATACCTTTCCGAGTTTTGGCAGTTTCATCTCACCAACAAACAAAAAAAACGTACACCAAACGGCCTGTGAGGAGTGCTACGCGAACACACCGTGCCGCTTTCAACACCGACTGCGTCATTGCGTTTTGGTACACCAGAAGTACATTCATTCCCAATGGAACGCTACGTTTGCCTTGCAGCATTGCATTGCAGAGGCAGTTGCAGTGCGTTCTGGTGTGGTGCATACTTTGGATTTACCGAACGTATGCTTCAAACTGTATGCGTAAACGGGTTGACAGAAATGGTAGCAGAAGGTGAATGTTGAACTTTTGTTGCACACATATCTAGATGATGCCCAATAAGGCAGTCGGTGTGTTCAACGCGTACACAGTATAAAAAAACGGAAGTCAGGAAAAACATAAGGTATCCTGCACATTTTCAAGTTAAAAGTCTCCATTCTCTCTTACTCCTCAGTTGAGTTTACTTCACATTTAGGTAGTTAATGTAATTGATTTGTTTGCCACCGCAAGTCTAGATAGCACTAGCTGTATTATGCCTACAACAGTGAAGTTTCAGTCCGCTAGGTGTATCTCTACAGCATGGCCATACCCATGCATGCACCTTATCAAAATATGACTAATTCAATTTTGCACCATCCAATTCTCTGGGCTCTGTCTGCAATCACAACCAGTAGTATATACCAGGAATAATGACACGAAGAAGAAGAGATGTTTGGTGAATCTATGAATTATGTATGACCACTGGAGTCTTTGCCACTCAATATTTTATTATTGAATATTTTGACATTTATTTAATAGGGGAAACAGTAACCGAGTAAAGGGAGACAAAGTAAGAATTGAACATGTAAATGTTCATTCATAGTCGTAACATAGGGTTTGTACATTTACATATCTAATTTAACGGTTACGTTTCATGTTTCACGCATGGCTTTTCTTATGATCCTTACAATTTACTTATGGATTTTCATACGAACCTAGCGATAGGTACGCTGAAGGCCCAGGTATTTTGGCAGCTATCTGGCTCCATAGTTATGGATCCCTTTAGTGAAAAGCATACGAAAATGTACTTTTATGAAACCAGATTGAATACCTACGTGGGGTGGCCATTTGAAGAGGGCTGCGATTGCACTGCTAACGCGTAGCAAAAATAAGTGGCTAACGTTAGTTAGTTAGCTGGACCAAGACTTTCAGAAATGCACGTAGTAGCTAGCTAACTACGTAAATAAAGTTGCCCATAATTGGTGATTCACTTTTATATCTGTTAGGTTACACTAAATTATGCTTATGCTATTGTTTCACTGGTCTAATCTACTATCATTACTTTGCTGCTGGCTTTCTAGATGGCCAAATCTACATCAATCCACACCCCAACAGAGAACAGGCCGAACCTGAGTATGTGAGCGGTGTAGCGCGGTCTGCAATCTCGCTCATTGAGCGGTGCGCAAGGATCCACTTCCTTTCCAACCTCTCCGCTAAAAACCCTTCTGCGCTCACAGAAAAAAAACTGCAGCCCCATTCATTAAAATCACAATTTAACGAGCACCCTTTTATTTTTGTGACTACTTGGACCTACCGTTTGGTTTTGAAGTGTTGAAACCAAACCATATGATTTGAATGAAAAGTATTTTAATAAACATGACAAGGTGAATGTAAAATAATGTAATTAAGAAATATATCAATGTTAGGATGATCAATGTCTGAGTGGTATTGACTAGAATACAGTAGAATACAGTATATACATATGAAATGAGTAAAACTGTCTGCAAACATTATTAAAGTGACCAGTGTTCCATTATTAAAGTGACCAGTCTTCCATTATTAAAGTGACCAGTGATTCCATGTCTATGTACAGTTGAAGTTGGAAGTTTACATACACTTAGGTTGGAGTATTTAAAACTTGTTTTTCAAATTTCTTGTTAACAAACTACAGTTTTGGCAAGTCAGTTAGGACATCTACTTTGTGCATGACACAAGTAATTTTTCCAACAATTGTTTACAGACAGATTATTTCACTTATAATTCACTGTATCACAATTCCAGTGGGTCAGAGGTTTACATACACTAAGTTGACTGTGCCTTTAAACAGCTTGGAAAATTCCAGAAAATGTCATGGCTTTAGAAGCTTCTGATAGGCTAATTGACATCATTTGAGTCAATTGGAGGTGTACCTGTGGATGTATTTCAAGGCCTACCTTCAAACTCAGTGCCTCTTTGCTTGACATCATGGGAAGATCAAAAGAAATCAGCCAAGACCTCAGAAAAATAATTGTAGACCTCCGCAAGTCTGGTTCATCCTTGGGAGCAATTTCCTAATGCCTGAAGGTACCACGCTCATCTGTACAAACAATACTACGCAAGTATAAACACCATGGGACCACGCAGCTGTCATACCGCTCAGGAAGGAGACGAGTTCTGTCTCCTAGAGATGAACGTACTGGTGCGAATCAATCCCAGAACAACAGCAAAGGACCTTGTGAAGATGCTGGAGGAAACCGGTACAAAAGTATCTATATCCACAGTAAAACGAGTCCTAAATCGACATAACCTGAAAGGCCGCTCAGCAAGGAAGAAGCCACTGCTCCAAAACCACCATAAAAAAGCCAGACTACAGTTTTCAAATGCACATGGGGACAAAGATCGTACTTTTTGGAGAAATGTCCTCTGGTCTGATGAAACAAAAATAAAACTGTTTGGCCATAATGACCATCGTTATGTTTGGAGGAAAAGGGGGGGGGGGGGCTTGCAAGCCGAAGAACACCATCCCAACCGTGAAACACGGGGGTGGCAGCATCATGCTGTGGGGGTGCTTTGCTGCAGGAGGGACTGGTGCACTTCACAAAATAGATGGCATCATGAGGAAGGAAAATTATGTGGATATATTGAATCAACATCTCAAGACATCAGTCAGGAAGTTAAAGCTTGGTCGCAAATGGGTCTTCCAAATGGACAATGACCCCAAGCATACTTCCAAAGTTGTGGCAAAATGGCTTAAGGACAACAAAGTCAAGGTATTGGAGTGGCCATCACAAAGCCCTGACCTCAATCCTATAGAAAATGTGTGGGCAGAACTGAAAAAGCGTGTGCGAGCAAGGAGGCCTACAAACCTGACTCGGTTACACCAGCTCTGTCAGGAGGAATGGGCCAAAATACATCCAACTTATTGTGGGAAGCTTGTGGAAGGCTACCCAAAACGTTTGACCCAAGTTAAACACTTTAAAGGGAATGCTACCAAATACTGAGTGTATGTAAACTTCTGACCCACTGGGAATGTGATGAAAGAAATAAAAGCTGAAATAAATCATTCTCTCTACTATTATACTGACATTTCACATTCTTAAAATAAAGTGGTGATCCTAACTGACCTAAAATTGAATTTTTACTAGGATTAAATGTCAGGAATTGTGAAAAACTGAGTTTAAATGTATTTGGCTAAGGTGTATGTAAACTTCCGACTTCAACTGTACATAGGGCAGCAGCCTCTAAGGTGCAGGGTTGAGTAACCGGGTGGTAGCCGGCTAGTGATGGCTATTTAACAGTCTGATGGCCTTGAGATTGAAGCAGCTTTTCAGTCTCTCGGTCCCAGCTTTGATGCACCTGTACTAACCTCGCCTACTGGATGATAGCGGGGTGAACAGGCCGTGGCTTGAGTGGTTGATGTCCTTGATGATATTTTTGGCCTTCCTGTGGCATCGGGTGCTGTAGGTGTCCTGGAGGGCAGGCAGTGTGCCCCCGGTGATGCGTTGGGCAGACCGCACCACCCTCTGGAGAGCCCTGCGGTTGAGGGCGGTGCAGTTGCCGTACCAGGCGGTAATACAGCCTGACAGGATGCTCTCAATGGTGCATCTGTAAAAGTTTGTGAGGGTCTTAGGGGCTAAGCCAAATTTATTCAGCCTCCTGAGGTTGAAGAGATGCTGTTGCACCTTCACCACACTGTGTGGGTGGACCATTTCAGATTGTCAGAGATGTGTATGCCGAGGAACTTGAAGCTTTTCACCTTCTCCACTGCGGTCCCGTCAATGTGGATACGGGTGTGCTCCTTCTGCTGTCTCCTGAAGTCCACGATCAGCTCCTTAATTTTGTTGATGTTGAGGAAGAGGTTATTTTCCTGGCACCACTCCACCAGGGCCCTCACCTCTTCCCTGTAGGCTCTCTTTTTGGTAATCAGGCCTACTACAGTTGTCGTCCGCAAACTTGATGATTGGGCTGAGCACGCACCCTTGTGTGTTGTTTCCTACCTTCACCACCTGGGGGTGGCCCATCAGGAAGTCCAGGACCCAGTTGCACAGGGCGGGGTTCAGACCCTGGGCCCCGAGCTTAATAATGAGCTTAGAGGGAACAATGGTGTTGAATGCTGTTCATTGACTACAGCTCAGCCATCTTACATAGCTATTCCTGTTGTCCAGATGGGATAGGGCAGTACTTTTG